CCCCCCCCCGCCCCCCCATGGTCTGGTAACAGGCCCCATTTCTTTCTCCCACAGCCTCATGGAGTTTTCCAGTCACCATCTGAACATCTCCTGGTGGACAACAGGATGTCCACGAGCCACCAACGTGCCTTGGTGGCCAAGAAGGCCAATGGCATCTTGAGGGGCATCAGGAAGAGCGTGGAGAACCTCAAGGGAGATCATCCCCCCAACTCTGCTCTGCCCCATCTGGAGCACTGGGACCAGTTGTGGGCTCCCCAGTTCCAGAAGGAGAGGGAACTGCTGGAGAGGGTCCAGCAAAGGGCTACGAAGATGATGAGGGGCTGGAGAAGCTCTCCGATGAGGAAAGGCTGAGGGACTTGGGGCTTTGGAGTCTGAAGAAGAGAAGACTGAGGGGGGATCTGAAGATTGGGTGTCAGGAGGATGGGGCCAGGCTTTTTCCAGTGGTGCCCAGTGACAGGACAAGAGGAAACAGGCACAAACTGGGAGATGAGAAGTTCCCTCTCAACATGAGGAGGAACTTCTTGACTTTGATGGTGGCAGAGCCCTGGGAGAGGCTGCCCAGAGAGGTGGGGGATGGCAGCTCCAGCCTGTAGCATCCAGAGGGTTGGTGGGACCCAACACAGGACCCGGCACTTGTTGAACCTCATTATTGCTTCTCATTTCCAAATTCGGGGGGTTCTACGATGAGAAGTTCCCTCTCAACATGAGGAGGAACTTCTTGACTTTGATGGTGGCAGAGCCCTGGGAGAGGCTGCCCAGAGAGGTGGGGGGGTCTCCATCTCTGGAGACATTCAACCCCTGCCTGGATAGGACCCTGTGGGACCTGCTCTGGGTGGGGGGGTTGGAGGAGATGATCTCCAGAAGGTCCCTTCCAACCCCAAATAATCCTGCAATTCTGTGATCTCCCAGCACCTCAGAGCCTTTTTAGCAGAGAGACCTGTGATCTTCATCTCCCAGCACCACCAGAGCCTTTTTAGCAGAGAGAGTGTTTCCAGGGCGTCTTCATTTCTATTTCCCTTCAGATGTGGTTCTTAATTTACTTTTCCGAAAGGTTTTGGCCCCGTTTGTGCAGGGAAAAGGCTGGGGGGGGCTCTTGGACATCGTCGGGGGCAGCCGTTACCTCTGGGTTTTGCTGCTTCCTCATCACCTTCCATTATCCACCTCCTCCTCCTCTTCCTCCCCATCCACTGGGGGTTGCGCCGCTGCTATTTGATATCCTTGAATCAGCCAAGACTGTTTGGTTTTGGTTTTTAAATAAAATATTCTATTTCTTAAATAAAAATGCTTTTTATTTCTGTTTTCTTCACCTGGTGAGATTTTAACCCAACCAATGTCTTTGGCAGGAAAAGCCGGGGAATTACAGAGCTTGGAGAAATCCCCCCAAATCCTGGAGCCCCCCCATCCCCTCCCTGAGAGATTCCCCCACGTTGTTTTTGTGTCTCCCCCCGGATCCAGGGGCAGAAAATGATGTTTCTCACCATTTTTTTCCCCAAGGGCATTCCCTTTGGAAGCTCAGAGAGAGGATTAACATCTCAACCGAGCCTTTTTTGCTCTTTTCTTGGAGATTTAACAATTCCCCCCCTTCCTCCCCCCCCTCCATTCAGCTTGTGCAATAACCCCTTGGGTTTGAGACAGCC